ACAAAATAATATATCTAGATATATAAAAAAGTGAAGAATATATTAATTAGATAATTAAACCGGTTTCTGGAGATGAGTTTTCTTTTCATTTTATTAAAGCAATCTCAAGCTTTCAGGTATCTTTGCCCTTCTACAGGATAACATAAACAAATGAATAAAACGCCGCTTGATGCCAAACTATAGATAGATGGGCAGAGATTGCCCCAAAGCTTGAGACTGGTTTAATAAAATAAACACATATCCGGAAACCTGTTTAATTTATTTAATTTATGTCCAGGAGATTTTATATTAATTGAAGAATATATATATTATATAATCTAAAAACTCAAATATTTCTATATTTAAAAAATATATATATTTTATTTTATTCATTGATAATTTTACTTTTGTTATCATCGTTTTTAGAAAGACTTTCAGTTTTTGTCGTAAATATGCGTAGTTAATATATATATTATTTTAAATCACTAATATAGGATTAACTTTATAAATTCTATATAATGTGAAAATAACTAATGTGTAATCTTTCCTCAAGTAATTGAAAATAAAAGCTACTTGACAGTAAATAATTATCTTTTTTTTATCACGACTGCACCTCAACCCTTTATCTTATCGATCCTTTGTCTTATCAAGCCTTATCTAACCACAACACAATAAAATATTCATAACATATATATGTTATGATTATTTTGTTTTGTTGTTGTAAAAGATAGAGAATTGAAGGTGCACAGTCGTAAAAATAGGAAAGATAATTATTTACCCATCAAGTAGGTTTTATTCTGAATTACTTGAAGTAAATTACACATAAAATTATTTTTCACCTAATATAGAATTTATAAAATGAATTACATATTCGTGAATTAAAAGAAAAGGTAGGTTTAACTATACATATTTACAACAAATATTCAAAGTGGTATGTTCTAAATCTATGGTAAAAAAAATGTAGAACAGTCAATGAATGAAAATAAAATATATATTTTTAAAAAATAAAATGATTGCATTTTAGATTATAATATATATATACAGTTAAACCTGTCTATAGCGCCCCCTCTTGGGACTCACCAAAATAGGGTGCTATAGAGAGGGGGTGCTATAGACAGGTCACTTTTAATGTAAAATGTTTAAAATCGGACGCTATTTAGAGGGGGGCGCTATAGACAGGTTTAACTGTGTATATAATGGTATATGATAGGTAACCGCTTTCTATTACTCAAATATATTATCTATTCCTTTAAAGACAAGAATATATCATAGTATTTGAAAATAGAAATACAGTTTGTGTTATAAAAGAGATTTTTCTATACTCAACTCCAAACAAAACCTTTCTATACCGAAAGGATTTCTTAGTCCCTTCAAAAAAAGATAAAAACCTTTAACACATCATTTTAAAAACCCTTTTCTTATCGAATGAATTTTAGCAGATATATATAAAAAAAGAAGATACCACAAAATGTTTTTAAAAAGTAATAAAGATACATTTGTGTTGCGCTTGGTTTTTTTAAAATTCTTTAATCATTTAATTGACAATAGAGACCTTCAAGTTTTTTTATTTTTTTATTATCGGGTAATTCTTTTTTCTTGG